TAGTTCGTGCGGCAAGACCGAGATCAACTCGGCCTGTTGCTGCGCAGAAAGCAGACGAGGTTTCGGCTTTGACGGTATAAGTCAGGAGGAGGTCGGTTGGGGTGTAGGGGCGGGGACTCGGAGTCGTGTGCGAGCATTGCGATTGTTGTATGCACACCTCGAACTTCGCTGCAGGCTCTTTATACGCGCAGTTCGTAGCAGCGATGCTACGGCCATATGTCCGTATCACGACATTGACACGCGCCTCGCTCTGGTGCGCGCATAGAATTGTGGCACACCGAACGGTCCGTAAGGATCGGAACGGTATGGGCCGCGCAGAATGTTGATACGGAACCCCATCCTTCGTAGCACGATGGTCGAAACGCGAGGTGGCTGTACGAGACGTGCGGTACGGCGGGAGCGACCGTCAGCTGGTCCGCCGGACGGAAGGACCGGGATGACGCGGTGCGGCGGCTGGACGTGCGAGACCCATGGACTATCGGGCTGAGATGCAGATACACTGGGCGGCGTCTCGACACTAGCTTGTTGAGTGCAAGTGCAAAGATCGCATCGTGTACCAGATATGCGCTCACAAGAGAATCTACAGGGCGTGTCAACACAAGTTATCGGAGGAGTCGTGCGGAATAGACGTACCGATACCGCTGAAACCTGACGACGAACACATAATCAAGAACCTGGACGAGATAAGTAACGTACCAAAACCAGATCAGTTCCGCGCTCGCCGCCCGGCGACTACGCGTACTGAAACGTACGCGCATTCAAAGCAAACAGATGACGATTCTATACAGTCGGCCACAGTCGATGAGGCGATTACATGAGTCTCGGTCAGTACGGTAACGTCAAGAAGTCAATACGAGACAGATGGATGGGTCAATGGATGGTAAGGGTAGTGAGAGAATGCGAGTACGAATGCAGAGAAGCGGTGTGTATCGCAGTATGTACTGTATCAAAAAAGGTGTTGAGGTGAAAGATCGGGGAAGGATGCTATGCGCGAGGATATCAGACAGATGGTAGAGACGGGGTGAGAGTGAAGCAGGATGGCGGGATGAGAGTACAACAGTGGTTCGGAGACATGGAAACGAAGGCTGAGAGGAAGAGTCGTATGGTATCGTCTAGCGTCAGAAAGCCGCTCATGCACGACCGCGACCGCGCCCGCGTCCACGACCTTTACCGCGACCCCGTCCACGCCCATTCCCGCGTGATGCACCGTTGGTATTCCCGTTCTGCTGCTGGGCGTTGTTGCCGTTCTGACTCTGTGCAGAGCTGTTCGGCTTTGCAGATGGCGGAGGAGCAGCCTCGTCCTCGCTACTCTCGCTGCTGCTTTCCGGCGGCACCTCCGCCTTCTTCCCCTTCGCCGCCCCTCCACTTCCTCCCGAGACGTTATTCGGCTTCTCATTGGCCCCGATCCCACCGTAGCTCATGAGCAGATTAGAGATCTCCTCCGCGGCGGTACCCTTATCCTTCGGGCCCTTCGCCGTCTTCGCCGGCAACGGCCGCGTATTCCACAGGTCGCGGATCTCCTGCTTATTCGCGAGCTTATTCTCGAGGACAAGCCAGACCGTTTCTGGCGTCTCGGACTCAAGAGCGAGTGAGAGGAGGTTGGCGTTGCCCGGGACGCGGTAGATCGAGCGGTATTCGCTCTCACGAGGGGCGTACTCTTCGAAGAAGCGTTTGACGGTTTCGGTATGGCCGAGTTTGAGGGCGTAATGGACGGCGGTGAGGTCGTTGCTGTCACGTTCCTCTGGGTCCGCACCTGAAATAATGGTCATTAGCGCAGATTCAACAAGAAACGACGCGAAAGGCGCTTACTGTGAGAGCAGAGCCATTCAACAAGATCAGCATCTCCGCGCTTCGCCGCGATATGCAAAAGCGTCTCCTTCCTATCTTTCGGCATAGTCTTAACAAATTCGTCGTGTCCGAGCTTGACCTCGCCTCCAGCAGCATCCACATCATCCTCATACACGCCCTTCTTAACAGCCGCAGCATCGCCCTTCCTGGCCGCTTCGAAAACAGCACTACGCCGCGTCTGCACGCGCTCTTTCAACGCTTTCGCAGCTTGCTCCGCGTTCTTCTGTTTCTGCGCGGCTTTGGCTTTCTTTGACGACGCTTTGTTGTTTTTGCGCTCTTCGGCCTCGCGGCGTTCTGTTGAAACAGGAATAGGTGAGATGATGCGATCAAAAAGTGTTGTGGTGGTTGAAATGGGCTATGACGTACCGCGTTCGCGTTCCTCCGCCAACCGTTGCTTGCGACGCGCTTCCTCGCGTTCACGACGCTCGGCGGCGGCTTCTTGCTCCTCGCGAGCGCGTATCGCGGCTTCGGGGTCGTGCGGTGGTTCGTCGTAGTGGTAGTGCCCGGGTCCGTGGTGGTGGTGGTGGTGCTCGTGGCTGTGTACGTGCGGGTGCGCGTCGTAGTAGCTGTTGTGCGCTTGACGGAAGTCTACATGAATAGAAAGGTTCGGGCATTAGGCGTCAATGCAAGGAAAAGGTTGTGGCACGGCACGCACGCGAAGAATTGAACTGGCGCGAGCGGCCACGCATAAACTCTTCAAAGAGATACCTATATCACCCGTCATTAGTTAGACATACCCAATCCACTGTTCCTCCGAAGTTGAAGAAATGAAATAGACGCGTACATGTAAAACTCCATATCCTCATAATCGCTCTCGTCGTCATCATCGTAGAAATCGTCCGAATAAAAGTCGCCGTCGTCGTCGTCGTCAGACTCGTACCGACCGCCCGACTTGTCGACGCGCTCGAAGTGGCGCTGGAGATGGGCCATTGCCGCACCGATCTGTTGGAACTCGGCTGTGGCTTCTGGGTTGCCTGGGTTCTTGTCTGGGTGCTTTAATAGAGCGAGCTAAAGCCAGTACGCGTGAGAATACATGTTTAGGTTATAATTTGGATTATATACCTTCTTGTAAGCCTTCGATACGACCTCGATAGGTTCCCCCTAAACACGACGCGTCAAAAGTCGCGTCCAATAATATATATTCGAGACGTATATCGACTCACATCGGCGAGGCCAAGATGCGCATACGCCTCAGAGGTGGACATCCCGTGTTTCGGTGCCATCTTGCCAATTGAGTGCACGCGATGGGCGGATGTGGTCGGAGTAAAGCAACGAGTCCTGGCGACGCGCGCGTCGCGCGCGGCGAATGCCATCAACGCGATTTTCTCACAGGCTAGTGCGCCGTCGGCGATCATGCAATGCATCAATGTCGGGGGTCGATCAACGGGCGTCTGTCCGGCTGGTTACATGGTGGTGATAGCATTACAGGGTATGTCCAGTAGTGTACAAGGGAGAACATAGAGCACAGGAAGATGAGGCGGGGATGGGGATACGCAAAAGCGCGTTGTGGGTGCATCAGGCGCAGGCGAACCCGAAGTCGGACGCTCCATCGCGGGGTCGGTCTGTCTGCGAGAATTCAGAGGTTTACTCCGTTAGCAAAAGCGATCACTGGACAAGTCAAGTCAGTTATCGGTAATAAAGTGGCGCATTAACGAAGCTTACCTCTTCAACTTCTGGCGACGGTCAAGTAAAGTCTCCGCGAGCTTGCCCTCTTTCTTCGCCTTCTTGAGATCCTTCTTATCCTTCTCGGATACAACGGACCGGCCTGCACCCCACGCTTGGTATATCTTACTATAAAAAACCGTCAGCATCGCGTCGCTATGCTTGGAGAGCACATAAACACACTTTGTCCCCGCCTCATCCATAGAAGGTCCCAACAACCCCTCCTTACTCTTCCTCTCCTCCTCATTCGCCTCCTTCTTATACTTACTCTGAATCTTCACCCAGAACCTCTCATTAAACCCAACCGTATCCGCGTCCCCTCTCAACTCCAACTTCCCACCCGCAACCTCATCCACGCTCAGATATTTTTCATAAATATTCTGAAACGCCACCATCCCATCTTCGAGTACTACAGGCGTCCATTCCTCTTGTGGCCCTCGAGCGTCGCGGTCGGCTGATACGAGTCCATGCTTGTCGCACGACAAGAACTTCCCCTCGCCCACGCCCGTACGCAAGTTGATGGTCCCAGCCCCGGCAACCCTCGTCGTAACCCAAACCTGCCCCACCTCCGTCGGGACACGATCCGTAACATTCACGTCCTCGCCTTCACCCTTCACAACCGGCCCCAGCATGATCTTGTTCCTAGTCGTGTCGAAATACATGCAAACCGGTGCGGGGTCGCTAGGGTGCACGACGAATGTTGGGCCGCGGATCTCATGCGCGGCGGAGGGGCGGACCCATGTTTCGTCGGGCATGTCCTCGTCTTCGCGGCGCTTTCGGCGAAAGGTGCTAGAGGGGTCGTCGCCGTCTTCGCGTTTGCGTTTCTTCTTAGTCTTTTCGCCTTTGAACTTTAGTTTGGAGGAACGGATTTCGGTGGACATGATGGAGGGAGGTAAGACGTCACGGCGAAGGGGCAAACTTGAAGTCACATCATAGAAGTGAAGAACCGAGTAGCCTCTTGTCAAAGAGAGACATCCTATGATACATTTATAGATCTGACGCAAAGAGCAATGACCATACAGCCAACATGCGTGCTGTCGAGGCGAAAGCAGGAAAGGCGTAGGTCGGACTTGTAAGACACACCCGCGTTCGGAAGTCCGGGCCGAAAAGTCACACGCAATTGGCGCGCCCGCGCTCTCCTCACCGCCAAATCCGTCGCCCACCTCCCGTTCCTCGTCGCCGGCCTCCTCAAGATGAAGTTCAACGCCGGTGCGTACTCAGGCCGTTACTATGCTTGTCTGGCGCACATCCGTGGGTTTGGGAGGGAATTGGGCGGTTGGAAGAGGCTGGATGCTGGATCGGATGGATGGATGGACCTCTGGGCGGAAACTTTGGCTCGGTGTTGGATGGCGAGCAAAATGCTGACGATAATGAGCAGACACGTCCAGCTCGCGCCGCAAGTCGCGCAAGGCGCACTTCTCCGCGCCGTCCTCTGTCCGCCGCAAGATCATGTCCTCCTCCCTCTCCAAGGAGCTCCGCGGCAAGCACTCCGTACGCCCATCCCACACTCCCATCTCACACCCAATATTCATAATCTATATTATAATAGGTTCGCTCTGTACCCATCCGCAAGGACGACGAGGTCAGGATTGTGCGTGGAAAGTACAAGGGTCGCGAGGGCAAGGTCACCCAGGTCTACCGCAAGAAGTGGGTCATCCACGTCGACCGCGTCCAGAGGGACAAGGCCAACGGCTCCACCGCGCCCATCGGCATCCACCCATCAAACGTTGTCGTCATCTCACTCAAGCTCGACAAGGACCGCCGCGCGATCCTTGAGCGCAAGGCAGCGAAGAAGGAGGCAAAGGAGGACGTCGAGATGACCGACGTGCGTTCTTATTATTCGGATATTATGACTGAGACTGGGATGCTGATGCGTGTTTGCAGTAATTCTTTCGTTGGGCATTGTTCTTCGCTGTCTTTTTCTTTCTGCTTTCACTTTTTGCATCGCATCCAAAAGCACCCCATGTACCTATGCGCCCACACGTTTCTGTATGCTCATGAGCCGCATGCATCCGCGCCGCACCCGCCGACCGATCTTCTCTGATAACTTGGCTCAACTTGATGCTCATAACTCATTCATCAAGCTACAGCAAATGTTTCCATGAGCACTGGGTACTCGCCGGATGGCGGCCCACCGCTCTGATCAGCGCTGGTGATTGGAATGGAGCCGTGGATCTTGTCCTGCTTCTCCATCCCAGGTTACATGTACTCTCATGTGCATATCACTATCTGCGCACGTTTACAATGGCTCCCCGCTCTTCAGGACATATATGGGTTTAAACAAAAGAAAGCGGCGCGATACGGGTCCTATCGCGATCCTCTTGTCGCTGTCACTCTTATGGCTTCTCCCGCGCTACTGAATGCAAAGACTCGATCGATAGCTTCCAGCCCGAGGTCATCAAAGAGCCAAACTGACTTATGGCGGCTTGCATTGTATTGAGTGGGAGAGCAGATGCACTACGGTGTACAAAGTGCACGGGAGTGGGCGCAGCTTGGCCCGCTTTCCGCCGGTTGTCAACCCTAGTCTCAAGATCCTCTGAGAATGCCACTATTGCGGATTGTTACGTGGAGGCCGATAGCTCACATATGCTCCGGGAAGGCAAGTATATAACCTAGTACAAGGATTATCTCCCCTCAGGATCTCGCCCATCCTAAGTACTCGTTTACGCGCTCTTCCACCCACACATTCTGCTATGTCTGTTGAATCGCAGACTCCGCCCCTTGCCAGCGAAGTCGGCAGTGTCGAATCTCTCTCGCTCACCACTGACTCTACGCTTGTGTCTGAGGACGTAGGCGACAACTCTACTGCCGTGTCCGACGCCATCGCCTCTGCATCTTCATCTACGGGTACCGCCGCGGACTCCCTCTCTACCCTTGTCGATGGCGAAGCCGCTTCTCTTGATCCCGTCACACACGACAACGGTACGGAGGCACCTCAGACGTTAGTCACGATACCGACCAATAACCCTTTAGACCCTCCGCCCGCTGGGGTGGAGTTCTGTACGTGTGACTCTGATGCTGTACCCGCGCTCGCCGTGAGTGGAGCAGCAGCAGTAGGCCTCGCCGCGGCTAATCGCGTTGCCCGAGGCGGTGTCGGTCTGGTTGGATTTGGTGCACAAGGCGTGGTAAAGGGTGCGCCGGCCGTTTACATAGTAACACTCTCGACTCAAATATATTCGCAGGTTCATGGGCAGCCGCGACTCAGGCTAGTATTGGTAACGTCGCCAAGGGCTCTTCTTTCGCTAAAGCGACATCAGTCGGTATGGGGGGACCGGTACCGCCGATCGCGGCTGCTGCCAGCATGCTACTCGTCGGCGGGGCTCTGGGTTTAGCCTTTTCTCTGGGTAGATGGCTTAGTCAGAAGGAAGGAAACTTTTGCTCTCAGTGTGGGAAGCACTTGCGTTAAACACAGTATTCGCACGCACTTAAGGGAGATCCAGTGTTCGGAGGCGTGTCGCTCGTGTGTACAGATTTGCCTACATCACATCCGAGACTTGGGAAGGCCTGCATGATGATGTTATGTTGTCTTGGAGGTTTGCGAGCTTCATTATGTCGTATGCACATGAATATAAATTATCTCACAGTGAAGATGTACGAGCGCCCGGTCTACGTGACATGCGGCGGCCTGCGAAACTGAACCTCCCATGACCTAACTCCGTTACTTTCTTCTGCAGCACCAACTGGTTACAGTGAGTTAGACATTAGACATAGCCCAGCAGTGCCGTTGTGTGGTGTAGCGTTTCTGCATCAGGGTACGGTGTCAGGAGCCCCTCCTCGGATGAAGATTAATGCTACTGGCTAGCCGTGAGCACAAACATACATATCGAGAGAGATATCAAGATTTGGCAGCCGAGACGACGCGCGTCGGGTGGGCGTCAAATCCAAAGAAGCCCTACATCACGTGAATGATATCAGTATGCATACACTGAAGGCGTATAAGAACCTTGATACCTTGAGCGATTCTGCCGGAACTTGTCGGGCATTCAGCCTGCCCGACAAACTTGGTTCGAAGCATGTCAGGTATCGATCTCACTCACTTACACGAAAGAACTCTGCGCTGATGGCAGAGTTTGTATTTGAATAGACTCACGACCCGAGCTCCCCGAAGTCAGCAAACGAGCTGGGGGTGGAGAAGCACAAGGGGTCGCGTCGAACGTAGTGGTGGCCCGTATCCTAGGCGGTCTCGCTGAATTCGGCGCAGCCATCACGGGGGCGATAGACACTGCCGGGGTAGCCTCTCGCCCCACTGCCGCTCGTGTACTCAACGATCTCGGGCCGAACCTCCAGAAAGTGGGCGCCGCGGTCGAAGGCGTCGTCCGTGACGCGGCCGCCGGAGCTCCCGCGCAGGTCTCCGCCATCTCGAACGCCCTCGGAAAGCTCCCTCCCAGTGAACTAGGCCCTCTCTCTTCTGCTCTCATCGCGAGCGCGATGGGAGGCACCGCTGGCGGCATCCTTCGCGACCTCAACTTCGGTCCAGCCGGCGTGATCGCAGGTCCGTCTCGCAGTGTCTACTCGGCAGTCGCAGAGCTGACAGACTTATTCTTCACAGGCTCCTTGGGTGCTGCCGCACAAGCAGCAGCCGGAAAGATACCAGCAGGGTCCCCACTCCTGGTCGCGAAGGCCCTCGCGACTAATCCGGCGCTGCCCGTGCAGACCGGTGCTGCAGCAATAGGAGCGGCTGCGTTTGGCGCTGGGTATGCCGCGGTTAGGAACCTGGCTGAGCAGCATGAATGTTCGAATTGCGGGGGAAGGTCGACGTCCATCAGCCAGTCTAAGTTGTAGCGCAGTAGTAGCCTTTTCTAATACATTCACCCCACCGTCGGTAGCGCCAAGATTGGACTGTGCACGCTAGGAAAGCGGGAATTGCATTTCCCAGCTCCGTTGCGTGTGTAATCCTCCTATAAGTACCGTGCCGACGCAGGCAGTCGGTCGCAACATCCGCTCGCCGGACAGCAAGCGCGCTGGCGGCAGTTGCCGAGACACCAAGACGCGCTCACATGGCTTCCGCGCAATCGCGATCAACCGCGACGCGCTCCTCGAGTTCGCCACTCATACTTGCACGCCAGGGTGGACTTGTAGAAAAGTTATTGTACCATCTGTGTGGGTAGTTGAATGTAGCTTGAGGTTACTCGGTTTGCCGGCCGGCCCGGTAATACCCGGTGTGGTCGGGAATTTTGCTCTAGTTATTCGGCCTTTCTGCAATCAGACGCGTAATGAACAGTGGTTTGCCTCGTGAGAAAGCATGTGAACAGTAGTGCAAACTGTATCCGTAGAAATACTACAAGAAGTGTCAGTCATAGTGCTGACGGAGGCTATGATCTGTGTACCGGAGCCCACGATCGCAAGGGCTTGCGGCAATGCCGACTGTGGCCCGAACGATGAGATCGGAGAATCTCGCGGACCTGCGTAGGCATTATTCTGTGCTTACATGAGCACGGTGACAGTTCCCCCATTTTCATTGGCGTGATCGCGGGGCAGTGAGGCGGCAAAGGTAAAGGGGAGTTCTGACTTCACGTGCTCTGATCGCCGGTATATCAGTTGAAACTCAGCCGTCCGAGCTCCTCAGCTCCGACATCCATCTTCGAGAGCTTCAAACACCTTTCTTCTTACCGTCGACGCAATATGCACTCGCACTACGCAGACGATCTGCGCGCGTTCCACGGCGAGGCGGACTACTACGAATGGGAGCAGAAGGACGTTGTTGGCGTCGGTGGTTCCGCGATGCAACCACAGCCTGGATTGGTGCGCAATTCAAGGCTATTTGCAACTGTCTCAACTGGGTGCTCATGGTATGACTGACAGAACGCGGGGTATGAGACGGGTATGCAGTACTATGGAGCGAACCACACGGGTACTGATGGGCCGTCCGCGAACGTACGTCGGCTGTGTCTTCTAACATTCAATTCATACTGAACATACATGATAGACGTCTAACTTTACACCGTCCCCTGCGTCGAACAATTCTCCCATCCTTCACTATACACCCTGGACGACGCCGTCCCCGACATACTCCCAGAGCCTCTCCCCGTCCCCTCGCCCTACTACGCCTGAGGGTCAGAGTCAGATTGCCAACATTCTGATGGGCGCCATCTTGAGGGGCGAAGACGTGGACCTCAATCGTCCAATTTTCACCGAGGAGACCCTTCGCCGTCGCGACCCTATCCTTTTCCGGTCAATGCAGAGACCTATACCAGGTGCGTCTTTTGCCCATTGTGCGCTACGGGACTCGGCTGACATTTGCCACCTAGCTCCTCCTCGCCACCACAACCACAACTCCAGGAACGTGCGCGCCGCGCCGTATCCCACGGAGAGGCCTCAGGCTGCCGCCCCTGGCGCAGACCTGGGAGCAAACAACAATACCACATCAACTAGCGTCACCCTCATGGGAGGTGCCCACGCGCGCGACGCAAGCGGAGTGGCGTCGCCGCAACCCAGTGCAACGCAGGCAACGACGAGCTCGTCGGAAGTCGTACCCTATGGAGATTGGATGGAGAACGACCCCGACTACGACCTGATATGCTGGCAGCCGGGCTGCACCGCGCCCACCAAGACGAAGCGTTTTGGACGACCTCGCTTCTCTGATTTAGGAGCCAAAACGCGCCATGCGAAGACCCACGTCGTGCGCGGCAAGCTCTTAACCTGTCCAACCTGCCAGAAACCCTTCAAAAGCGACCGTCCGGGGTCTTTGAAGCGGCATCAGCAGTCGAATGGGGGACGGGCCTGCATCAATTATCTCGCTAGGATGGCGAAGGAGGCGGCTATGAATGGCACCGTGACGCCGCCCGACGATCATCCCTCCGGCTTACAGAAGCACGACGACGGCGACGACAGCGACGACGATCCTGGCTTTGGTGGGTTCGGAGGTGGGTCGATGGCCATGGCGCAGTTGTCGTCGATGCAAGCTGGCCCTTCCCGCCTGGCGTACTAGACAGAACGAATTCCGCGACGAATATGTTTCCTAGGCCTGTAATGAATTCCCCGCTTTGAATGAATGAACTGTACACGTATCTTCTCAGATCGTTCCTGATTCACCGTACTCATCCATGAGTACACAACTTGGACATGAATGATACAGAAGGTATGTGGCCATCGGGCAGGGAAGATGGACGTACTACTAATCCGGCAGCATGAGAGCAAGAGTCAAATTGCATCCCTCGTCACCCTCCACTTGACCTCCTCCTCTAGCAGAGTACGCGTATGCGCGAGACTCTGGCACAGTTTACTTGATTCGAGGACTATGTCTCAATCATTGTGCACATATATATATTCATACTCGACTACGGGCGTGGTTCACTGCTGATTTATTCAAATTATTGGTGGTTTATCAGTTCCTGCCTGTTCCTGCCTGTTCCTGCGCGGCAGCTGGTGCGGCCCGCACTTTGCCGCCGCGACACAATCGCAGCACTTGTTGAACGTCGCGCAACGCCCAAGTCGCGATCGGTGGTGGATTGCGCATTGTTGGCGCACGGAATGGTGTCAAGGTCTGGCTGACTTCTAACATCGGGCCATGGTAGTTCTCTCAAAGGCTGGCCCGAATGCCACGTGGATGCGAGGCAAGTGGCACTTGCCGCAACCTCGCGTCGATCTTACAACAGACCACCATCTAGTCTGTAGGCCATTGACCCGACGCACACTCAAACTATACAAACTTTGCTGTCTGGTCTTATTTCTATTCGATGCCGGAGAATCGACACGATCCGTCGACTTGGAGTCCAGGCCAGGTTGCGTACGATCAGGCCTTGCGCGAGGGACCCACCGCGGCTCTTGACCAGTTTTGCTCGCTCTTCCGTGCATCATCGACTTCTGAGACGCGAGATATCGAACAGATCTTTAGTCTCTCTGTGGTTCTATCGGAGAACTTGGACAAGCTAACCTACCCTAGAACCGCCACGCCGAACGAGGATCTGTGGCGCGCATTGCTTGAAAGCGACTTCATGGTGTTCGTGGCCCGTACCATTTCTGAACCAGACTTCTTGACCTATCGCATGGTACATGAAGTGCTTCATCGATACATGCACTTCCCCTTACTTACTCTTATCGCGCCTCAGGATCTCGTCTTCAATGTCTGCGACTTGCTCAAGTCAATGTTACAAGTCTGGTGGATGTGGATCGTGCCCAAGGGGTCGAGCGACTATCGAGAAACTATCCAAACCGTACCACCTGATCCATACGATGCTTGTTGGGACGCGACAGACTCCATGTGGGTCAGTTTATGGGATCACCGAGCATTGCTTCCACGCATAATTAGCGAGAAAATTGGGATGGCAATCTTGGTGTGCTTCGATGATATTGCGTACTTGATGCGTGATATACAGATGCGGTACGTCACAATCTCATACGTTTCTCATATGAGCATTAACTTAAGTTCCTGTAGCATCTCGACGCCTACCCTCCCGTATCTTGCCATGTTCTCATTCGTATCCTGTTGCTGGATTACCCTCTACAGCTCCGCCCAGTTCGAGGCGAACAAGAAGCTCCCGTCCAATCACCATGCTCTTATACTGATTCACGAGCTCTGCGCGGCCTCACGCGTAACTGAGAATGAAAACTCCTCGCTACCATGGTCTCGTCAATTTATGGCGGCGATCGTGGAAGCTATGGGCGCCAGATCTCTGGTCCGGGCAGCTTACAATGCTCTGAGCTACTCCGAGCATCTAGTGGATCGCCACCTCACGGCCTGCCTCGACATATTGGAGATACAGATGGAGCTAATAGGTGTTCACTGGTATGCCTCTCCTCCGCTACTGGACGCTTTCATGCACGCGATGCACCGGGAAGATCATGACCCTGATCCAGAGGATGGTCCTGGTGTTCTCACCCGACGGCGGTTGAAAGCATACGAAGGGGTATTCAGACACTTGGAGTGAGCTGGGTCCATGCGAAACCTGCATCATATCTGACTGGTACCTGTAGGAAGATGTTACCTGGGCTTGAGTCGGGTGCCATACCGTTGGGGTCATTCTCGTGCACCACATTCTGGAACTTATTGAGCGGCGGAGTCCATCCGGCCTCAGACGCAGACGGAGTCCTCCGTCACGAGTCAGGAGACTGTCTCTGTGGTGATCATACAGCACTCAATGAAGGTGCGTATGCAAGCGAGCTTGTAGATGCACTGGATAGATCTCACTCATATTCCACACAGCAATGCTTACGATGGCGGCTCGCTTTTCGGCACTGAAAGACGCGTATCTATCCGCACTACGCCATAAGCGTCTTCCGCAACCCGTGGTCAATCAGATCCGGCGCACTGGCGCGCCGCAAGGTGCCGGCCCAACCGGCAGATGGTACTTCGTGGTTTCACTCCTACGGGAGCGCTTACGACATGAAGCATCGTCGGTCAACAGTACTTTACTCAATGCTTGGTTAGAGCTCGGAGGGGCATTTGGCATGGATGAGGTCTCGCAGCGGGACTTGAAGGCGGCGCATGTTGCCCGGCAATGTTGCTGGCGTCCGTGCAAGTATCACTCGACGCCGTCGGAAAAGCCCTTGTTAGTGTGTAAAGGCTGCAAAGAAGCTCGATATTGCTCTGCAGCTTGCCAGAGAAGGTGAACACCTTCCTCCACTTATTCATCCGTGACACCCAAGGCTGACGGTTGACCGATTCCAGCGATTGGAAGCAAGGGAACCACCGTGTGCAGTGCCGTAGGGTGAAGTGACCGCTCATGTCCCTCAATCTCTCCGACGTATACATTCGATATGACGGGACCATGATTGACGCGTTGATACCGAGGAGGCCTGATGGATAGATGTGTGACCGACTGGGACGAATACAATGCTAAGATAGTATATGAACGTTTGTCCCCTGCACCTTGAAGTTCTATGATAGCTGGAAAGGCGCAAGAACATCAGCTTCTCTGTGAGTGGATACGATGGTTGTAGAGGGGACGAGAAAGTCCGTGATGGTGCGGAAACGCGACGGCTGGCGTAGGCGCCCATTGCCTCGGGCAGGCGTCGGAGATCTTTCCAGCGCCCGACCGCCTAGTGCGCGGCGCCGTCGAGCTTCTCTCAATCTACCGGCATTCACGGTGAAGCAGTAGTGATCGCATTGCATGCCAAACCAAGTAGTGATGACAGCAAATGGCATACGCGAATGACGACAAGACATGAGCAAGAAAGATCAGAATACAGCCTTTCGCCTGCGTCCTGTATACTTCGAGTCCTTCGGCACGTCCTCCTTCCCCCGTTTCCTGTATAGCTATCGTGATTATGAGCACCCTCATTCAGATCAAGCGTCACACAGATGCACTCACTTCCTTCTTCCTCAAAATCCACTCCCTACCACCCTTATCTTCCTTCCCCTTCTTCCCCTTCAACCTCCGTCCCTCCCTCAACCTCTTCTTCTCATTCTTCACAGTCTCCGCGTCCACCGGTTCCTCCCCGTCCAATCCCTGCGGCAGCGCCCTATTCGAAGCGCCACCATCTCCAACATATAACACCAAGAACACCTTGCGCGCTTTGCGGGAGTTGGGGTAGTCGACGACGATACCGCCGCCGAAACCGGCGCGTTGGGCGGATTGGGTTACGAGTTGGACTTGGTCGTCTGAGGATGGGTAGAATTGGAGGACGGCGCGGGAGGGGTTACGGAGGGAGGCGTGCAGGGTTGTGAAGAATCTTGTTAGGCGGTGAGTGGGGGAGGATGTTGGATGGGATGTTTCGGCGTTCAGGAGCCATTGGATCACTGATATACTATATGCGTAGGCATATCAGCGAGTGCACCGCTTAAGATATTGAATTCAAGCAGACCTGATGGCGCCGTCAAAGCTTCCAGGCCTAAACCCGAATCCTTGCCCAATATCGTGCAGGAACAGATCGCCCTCGACTTCGCGCTCAAGCGCAACCTCTCATAGACCCCATCAGCCTCTCTCTTCTCCGTCGTCGCGTCAGAAAGGAGACTCACCCAGCATACTCGGCGCAATATCCACACCAACCCAGTTGTACCCTTCTTCGTCCAATATCTCCCCGCTCAAGCCAGAGCCGCAGCCGACGTCGAGGAGGAAAGCTGGTTGGCCTTCTGGTAGTGCTAAAAGCTCGAGAGCGCGGTAGGTCATGTCTGCTTGGACTTGTTGTATACGTGTGCTACAGACAGCGGCATAAGTATGCGCTTGTAGCAAGCGAGAGACGTGAACGCACTTGTTCGTATATTTTGTGGCTTCGATGTCGCCATAATACTATCAGAGCTCATATTAGACTTGCTCGACTGAGAGCACGAAGTTTTGTACGATTTCGGGAGGCGCGACGTTCTCGGGCCGTGACATGGTGTTGTCTTTTGAGTATGATACAAGTAGGGATACAGACGGGCGAGATTTCGCGGCGTAACGCCGGACGGGGAGTGAAGCAGGCGGAGGAGATGGAGGAGGAAGTGAAGCGCCGAAAAGTTGTGATTGATCTGAAATGAAGCCAGATCAAAGTCGCGCGTGCGCCTCTTGGCCGCGAACCTCCACACCGGGATTGCGCTCAAAGCCATGGCGACTACGGTGAAGCAGTACAAAGCGATCGGAGATGAGTTGTGGAAGACCAGAACGGACAAGATCGTACGTCTATCCCCCGTTCACTCACCCACATACCTCTTGCATTTCATCTGTTCTGAGTGAAGCTGATACTGAACGCTAGAACAGAACGGCGAGCTATTCGCGATGACGTACGGCGCGCTAGTCGTGCAGCTCATACAAGACTACGAAGACTATGCCGAGGTCAACACCCAGCTCGAGAAGATGGGGTATAATATCGGGACGCGGCTCATTGAGGACTTCCTTGCGCGAGCGCCTCAAGTCGGGAAGTGCGCCGACTTCCGGGAGACGGGAGAAGTCATCGCTAAGGTAGCGATCGTACTTTGATACGTGCACTTTAGTACTGACTGTGAATGGAACCCGTAGGTCGGCTTCAAGTCCTTCTTGAATATCACACCCAACGTCACCCACTTCGCCGGTACATCGACAGGCGCGACCACGGCACCCAGCACACCGGTCAACAACCGTTCATCTGCACCCACGTCGGCCGCATCCAACCCGAGCTTCGTTCTTACGTTTGACGAGAACCCGCTCGCCGAGTTCGTCGAGTTGCCTGAAGAGGCGCTCGAGGGCGGGTTGTGGTACAGTAATGTCTTATGCGGCGTGTTGCGCGGTGCTCTGGAGATGGTATGTGTATCTCACGGGAGTTGAGGGGCAAGCAGCTTGCTAAGAAGTATGCAGATTCAGATACGCGTTACGACTGAGTTCGTGAGCGACGTATTGCGCGGGGACGACAAGACGGAGATTCGGGTTCGGCTTGTGCAGTACTTAGAAGAGGAGGTTCCAGCAGGCGAGGACTAGGCTCATATACCATGCATAGAGCTTGCACTGTACTGTACGATATAACGAAATGCGCCCGGATACTGTAATAATGACTGCTCTTCCAAACGCGGCTTCTGCGCCCTCGTGGACCCATACACGGCGCCTAACCGAAGCGCTCGATACGGTTGAACTTCCTCGCCGTCCGTGCGTTGTTCTGTGTCGTCTGTCCGCGCACAGGCAGGCCCAACGCGTGCCTCCTTCCGACATAGGACCCAATCATCCTGTGATGGGCGATGTTCTCCCTGACCTCCCTCCTGAGGTCAGACTCAATCCTCAGCCTCCTCAACGGGTCGCCTCCACCCTTAGCATTACTCGTGCGCGGGCCGGGAGGCGGCGCGGGTGTAGGCGGCGCCAGCAGACGTGTCGCGTGGGGGAGCTTCTGCAACGGCGTAGAGGGCGCGGGTGCTTTGTAGTGCGTGCCGGCCAGTGGTAGACGCGGGATTAATGGCGCGGTTGTAGGCGAGGATAGGAAGGCCGTGAGAGAGGTGAGTTGGGAGGGTGTCAGACGGCCGACTTGGCAGGTGTCGTGGATTTGAAGTCGGGCGCAGATGCGGGCCGCTGTCTGGTTGCCGATGCCGTAGAAGTGCGTCAACGCATGCTATATTCCCATTCAGTATACATATTATAGCACATTGAGACGTGTAGACTACCTTTGCGAGCTGCTTGTCGGGCAGAACGACGCCCAGGATATGGACCATGGTGAACAAGTCAAAGGTCAGGAAATAAACGCGAGACGCGACTTGGCCGTCGACGCGCCTGAGCTGGCTCGCTCCCACGCCTCTTGCTTCTGTCCATCACCTCTACACTCTTGTCATGGAGGACCGTCGTTCTGCTCTAGCGAAACAGCGCGAAGCTGCACACGCCGACTACGAGTCCAAGAAGAAACAACTAGTAGCCGAAACCGAAAAGGCCCGACCCTCGTCACACCGTTTCGTAGGACAGAACGACAGCGTCGAAGACAGCCTTAAACGACACACCGTTGGGCTCGTACATCTCGAAGACTTCCAAGCACGCCGTAAGGAATTAGAAGAGGAGCGAGCTCGAGCAGCCGCGCGCAGCGATACTCTCAAGTGAGTGGTCTCGTGACATTGGGTTCAAGGGAGCAGACGCTGAGGGCGGTAGATACGCCTGTTAGAGCGGAGCAGAAGGCCAAGAAGAAACGCAAGAAGGCTGCAAAGGCCACGCTATCCTTCGCGCTCGACGAGGACGAGGAGGGAAGCTCGGCATCTCCCGCGCCTGGTCCCGCGCGCAAGTCCGCGAGCGAGACGCCCGGTGATCCCGCGACGCCCGTGCCGGATGCGGAGGACGGGGACGACGAGGAACAGCGCGCGGCGAAACGTGCTAAGAAGAATCCCGCTGTTGACACTTCATTTTTGCCTGATCGTGAGCGCGAAGAAGCCGACCGTCGCGCACGCGAGGAATTGCGTAAGGAGTGGCTGGAGCGTCAAGAGACACTGAAGGCCGAGGAGATCGAGGTCGTTTACTCATACTGGGACGGCTCAGGACATAGGAAGAGCGTCGTGTGCAAGAAGGGCGACGCTATTGGGACGTTCCTTGAGAAGGCCAGACAGCAGTTTCCCGAGCTGAGAGGCGTCAGCGCGGATAATTTGATGTATATCAAGGAGGACTTGATCATCCCCGCAGTAAGCTTGAGCCATGTTTATTGAAATACAGCAATGAGCTGACGTGTGCATCAACAGCACTACACGTTCTACGACTTCATCCTCAACAAGACCCGCGGCAAATCCGGCCCACTATTCAATTTCGACGTGCACGACGACGTCCGATTACTTGCAGACGCGACGCGCGAGAAGGACGAGTCGCACGCGGGCAAAGTCGTTGAGCGTTCGTGGTACATGCGCAACAAGCATATCTTCCCAGCTTCGCGGTGGGAGGTGCGTTCCCTCCCCCCTTTATTGATGATGAACGCTGGACTGACGTCTGGATTGGATTCATATTTTCTTGGACGTCTTGTGTTGTGCGATGGGTGCGGGGTTGGGCGCGAAAGGTGTACGACCCGGAGAAGGATTACGGAAAGTATACGATCAAGAGCTGAAGCGTGGCTTATATCATGTATCGTCAATCTCAACGAACAATGTTGCATATTCATTCTTTTGCGAGCAGCAGGCGTGTGCCACAACGGAAGTCTACATCTCAACTCGGTCTTTGATACCGCCACATTTATCGCAGATGGTGCCGTCCCGCATCGCAATTCTGCGACGATGAGCCTTTCAGGATGGCGATTAGCTATGCTGGCCCTCATACTTGATGAGAAGGGAGTCTTTCACCTGAATAAGCCAGTCCAGGATATCTTCCTCGCTGAGGCCCGTCTCACAGATGAGCTCAATCATCTCCCTGTCCGTTGGGATTGGGTTATCCGCATGGCGGTTGAACCAGCCGCTGAGGTAATCGAGTTGCAAGCGCCCGAGCTTCTTCTCTTCCTTCTTGCCACCAGCGAGCTTCTTGAGCGCCACGTACCCACCGCCCACCGCGGCAGCGCCTATAACGGCGGCACCTGCGAATCCGATGAACGGCAGCGCCGCGCCGGCCCCGACGGATTGCGCGACCGCGAAGGGTGAGCCCGCTGCCACGCTCCCGATGCCGGATTGGATCGCGGCCGCCCAGGATCCTGTGGGGCGCGATTCACACTTGAGTGATGATCATGATACATATGGCGTCGACGCGAATTACCTGCGACTACCCCGCCTCCGCCAAACCCGAGGCCACCGAGTATACCTACAGCGGCTGGAGGCGCGATTGCTGCGCCTGCGACTCCACCGACAAGTGCTGCCCCGGCTGCCCCGGCGGCGTCGCCACAGTTGCAGCGGCCGGGGTCGACTTCGTACGCAGATCGTGCTCTGACGTCCGGATCGTCGTTCATAAGGAAGGATCCGTCTATTGAAACTGGTCGGAATGGGGCTTTATCGCATACGGGCTCTTTCGAGAGGGAGAATGGCGGGTTTTGTACTGGCTTGGTGATGGTGACCATCGAGTTTCGCTCCTGAGCGGTGCCAAAATCGTCGTTGGCGGCTCAAAGTCAGCGCTTTATATATACTGACGGGCGTGTGCGACATGCGCTGTAGGATTCTGACGACCCACTAGACATCGACAACGAGGTGACCCTTCTTTCTACCTTCGGAGCGACGAAGGCTATGACCGCAGATTCTGGAACGTCAACCGACATAAAAGGGGACACTGCATCAGCGAAAAGTGCGAACTAGGCATTGCTCCGGCGCGCAAGGCGTGAGCTGGCGTGAGTATACCTCTCATCATGTGATGTAGGACTTCTTCGGGATCACACATCCTGCCATGTCGGGACACCAACAGCGCGTCGCCATCGAGCGCCCGAATGCTCTCCATGGCGACGTCGCGATGAGGCGCATCTATCCGGTCTGAGGGTTCCGAGAACTGAGACAATACAAGTTCAGACCGCGATGTTGATACGCGTCGGATGACAAGCGCGATCTCCGCGCTGTCGGCCGCGCAAGTCGTGTGATCGCGTCACAGCGGCAGAATGCGGACCGCGCTGAAAACTGGTCAACCACCAATATTCTGAATAAGCCACCCCGTAGTCGGCCTGAACGATATGTACGCGTGCCAGTTGAGATGAGGTAAACTGGGACGAAAGCTTGGCGCATGCGAGAGATCTGCTATGAGGAGGAGATTAGGGATGTTGGGCAAACCGTTGTTAGAAGTCAGCCCGACCTTGACCCCATCCAGTGCGCCAACAGTGCGCGATCCACCACCGATCGCGACTTGGGTGTTGCGCGTGTTACGCGACGTTCAACAAGTGCTGTGTCTGCGTGGAGGCGACAAAGAGCCGGCCACGCCAGGCCGCGCAGAAACTGATAAACCACCAATAATTTGAATAAATCAGCAGTGAACCACGCGCGTAGTCGAGTATGAGTATATATATGCACAATAGTTGAGACAGGGTCCTCGAATCAAGTGAACTGTGGTAGAGGTTTGCGCATACGCGTCCTCTGCTAGAGGCGGAGGTCAAGTGAAGGGCGACGAGGAACACAATTTGACTCTCGCTCTCATGCTGCCGGGTCAATACGTCCAACTTCCCTGCCCGATGGCCACATACCTTCTCTATCATCCATGTCTAAGTTGCATACTCATGGATGAGTACGACGAATCGGGGAAGATCTGAGAAGATACGTGTACATTTCATTCAATTCAAGGCGGGGGATTCATTACAGGCCTAGGAAATACATTCGTCGCTATACATCGCGGAATTTGTTCTGTCAGCGCCTCTAGTACGCCAGGCGGGAAGGGCCAGCTTGCATCGACGACAGCTGCGCCATAGCCATCGACCCACCTCCGAACCCACCAAAGCCACGATCGTCGTCGTCGCCATCGCCGTCGTCATGCTTCTGGAAGTTGGAGGGAGTCTCGTCGGGCGGTGTCCCGGTGCCATTCATCGCCGCCTCCTTCGCCTTCCTAGCGCGCTTATTTTTGCAGGCCCGTCCCTCATTCAACGTCCGGTGCCGGTTCAAAGAGTCCTTGCGAATACCACGAAAGGTGGCTTGGCAGGCCGGACAGGTTAAGCGCTCGCCGCCCGCGACGTGGAGCTTCGCATGGCGCGTGGCGGCTCCTAGGTCAAAGAAGCAAGGCCGTCCAAAGCGCTTCCTGTCGGTGGGCGCGGTGCAGCCCGGCTGCCAGCATATCAGGTCGTAGTCGGGGTCGTTCTCCATCCAATCTCCATAGGGTACGACTTCCGACGAGCTTGTCGTTGCCTGCGTTGCACTGGGTTGCGGCGACGCTACTCCGCTCGCGTCGCTCGCGTGGGCACCTCCCATGTGGGTGGCGCTGGTTGATTCAGTATTGTTGTCTGCACTCAGGTCTGCGCCAGGGGCGGCAGCCTGAGGCCTCTCCGTGGGATACGGCACGGCGCGCACGTTCCTGGAGTTGTGGTTGTGGTGGCGAGGAGGCGCTAGGTGGCAAATGTCAGCCGAGTCCCGTAGCGCACAATGGGCAGAGACCGCACCTGGTATAGGTCTCTGGATTGGCTGGAAAAGACTAGGGACGAAACGGCCGAAACGGCGAAGGGTTTCCACGGTGAAGATTGGACGGTTGAGGTCCACGTCTCTGCCGCTCAACAGAAGGCACGCCAAGTTGTCGGCGATCTGACTCTGACCCTCAGGCGTAGTAGGGCGAGGGGAAGGGGAGAGGCTCTGGGAGGGTGTCGGGGACGGAGTCGTCCAGGGCGTATAGTGAAGGATGGGGGAGTTGTTCGACGCAGGAGGCGGTGTAAAGTTAGACGTCTATCATGTATGTTCAGTATGAATTGAATGTTAGAAGACACAGCCGACGTACGTTCGCGGACGACCCATCAGTACCCGTGTGGTTCGCTCCATAGTACTGCATACCCGTCTCATAC